GCAGAGAAAGCCAAGGCACAGGCTGAATACACAGAATTAAACAAGTAATATAAGAGAAGCATCAGAACCGACAAACGTAAATATGTGTAAGATCTAGCAATGACGGTGGAAAAGGCTACAAGAAAAGGAAACATAAGACAATTGTATGATACAACTAAGAAACTCACTGGAAATTATCGTAAACCAGAACAACCAGTGAAAACCAAGGAAGGCAAAGTAATCACCAACATCGAAGAACAGAAAAATAGGTGGGTAGAACACTTCAAAGAACTCTTGAATCGACCAGCCTCACTGAACCCACCCAACATAGAAATAGCACCCACGGACCTCTCTCATCTAAATAGTGTAGGAAAATATAAACCTGACATAAAATTTATGTTTGATGAAATAAATAGATATAAAGGTCTAATCTTCAAATCTAACAGACAAGAAAGTTGAAAAAAGTGAGAAAACCGAAAATTCAAGTGTCCGCATGTAGAGACAACATTGAAGATTTCACGTGTTGCACGTATAAAGAGTAAAACCGTACGAAAAAACAAAATTTAATTACAAATTAGAGGATATCCAAAAGATGCAGTATGAATAGTCCGATAATCTAAAAAAATGCAAACATCAAGTACAAGCACACGAATCTTGATGACCCTGGTATAATCTATTTAACAGAATTGTGACACTGACGATCACATAGTAAATGCTCTGTTTCTGTATAGAAAATAAAACTTCAAATAATGTAAATAAATCATACTAGTCAATTCTACACAAACAGAAAGCAGATACGGACAGTTATGAACCAGATTAAATGTCGGTAGTGATACTAACATGTGTATGATAAACGGTCCAACAAACTAAATTATACAGGGAATTCATTCGATTTAATGGATCGACAACAAATTTATTTGTTGACAATTATTATAGTCATAACTCACTTACCCGGAATGACCTGAATAGTGAGCAGAAGAGTTAATAGAAACATGGAGACACATCTCATCATTTCCGTATCTTAATAATTACAAACACTAACCACATTCATTCAATTCATATTTATATGAACGCGAAGCAAAATAAATTACCGATTTCCAAACAGAAAAATGAGAATATATTTCGGATTTCTTACTTGTGTCTATTGTCTTGTTGAATTAGTCCTTTTGTAATGAACAGACATCACGGAAGTAGTTTGATATTTCACGTGCGTTTCGAGTCACTATGTGACAGTATTTATGAAATGAAACACAATACATTCACTTTGTAGTATCTCGGCTAATTAAAATATAATCTGTCTGGAATTATTTGGAAGTCCACAGTCTCTAGATGACCGAATCGGATCTATGAGCTGATCAAAACCGTATTTTTCACTCTATGTTAAACCGAAATATTGAAAAATATCAAAATGATTTTCACAGATTTTATTGTAATAAAAACGTGTTGTGAAAGCAGTCTTCATGATACAGACTACTTATCAGAGTCTTAGGTATTTGGTTTTAATGTGATATGTGTTGACACAAATGACAGGCGAAATTCTGGTATTTCCTAACTAAGGAACAGCTGTTGAAAAATACTTATTTATATTAAAATTAAGGTACATCGACGGTCAGTAAGCTGAAGCCAGGTCAATATATTTGTCATTTAATAGTTTGGATGCTAAACAAGTTTACAAAGAAAATTCACCAAAATCTGGGGATAAAGATAGAGACGAGAAATAATACTTGTAAAAAAAATGACTTTCAGCTTGGCAAAAAATATTAGTTCCCATATTGTAATTTAGAACAACATATAAAAGCGAACAATATTGTTTTCGCTTAGATCCTCATCAGGCTTTACTCTAATATATAGTAATATTCTTTTAAGGAATTAATAAAATAAATGGTTACTTGCTCCGAACATACACGACTCACTTAAACCCACTGGATCGAACACACTGCGAGTATATGTTTAAACCAATGTGTTCAAGACAGGTCTTCCTCTTCGTCCAGTTTTAGATATGTATAATTCGCCTCATCATAAAGCTGCAAAAAGGCTAGTTCAAATCCTAGATCCCTTACGCAAAATAGTCGTCAAGACAAGCGTGAAAGACGTCTTCGATTTCATTTCCAAAGTGTAACATATGAACTTAAATGTGAAACGGATGATATCTTTAGATGTCGCCCCCATGTTCACTAATGCACCTTTAACTGAGACTGTTGACTTTGTGTGCAAACAACGTCTTGATAAACAAATCAATATTGGTATTCCCGAGATTAGTTTCAACGATTTACTTTTGAAATATACAATGAATGTCCATTTTGTCTTTAGTAACACATATCATAGATAAATTGATGGCATAGCGATGGGCTCACCTCTAGGTCCTATCCTTGTGGATATTTTTCTTGCGGAACTAGAAAACGGACCTCTCAAATATGTTATAATTAAGCTTGACTTCTACTGTCGTTACGTTGATAACACTTTCATTATTCTCGATCAGAACATTAGAAAAGAAGAACTGTTAGAACTATTTAACAACAAACATCCAGCAATTAAATTTACATATGAAGAGGAAATAGAAAGTTTAAAATGATTTTTTTAAAGTATTATTTTGGTGAATTTTCTTTGTAAACTTGTTTAGCATCCAAACTATTAAATGACAAATATATTGACCTGGCTTCAGCTTACTGACCGTCGATGTACCTTAATTTTAATATAAATAAGTATTTTTCAACAGCTGTTCCTTAGTTAGGAAATACCAGAATTTCGCCTGTCATTTGTGTCAACACATATCACATTAAAACCAAATACCTAAGACTCTGATAAGTAGTCTGTATCATGAAGACTGCTTTCACAACACGTTTTTATTACAATAAAATCTGTGAAAATCATTTTGATATTTTTCAATATTTCGGTTTAACATAGAGTGAAAAATACGGTTTTGATCAGCTCATAGATCCGATTCGGTCATCTAGAGACTGTGGACTTCCAAATAATTCCAGACAGATTATATTTTAATTAGCCGAGATACTACAAAGTGAATGTATTGTGTTTCATTTCATAAATACTGTCACATAGTGACTCGAAACGCACGTGAAATATCAAACTACTTCCGTGATGTCTGTTCATTACAAAAGGACTAATTCAACAAGACAATAGACACAAGTAAGAAATCCGAAATATATTCTCATTTTTCTGTTTGGAAATCGGTAATTTATTTTGCTTCGCGTTCATATAAATATGAATTGAATGAATGTGGTTAGTGTTTGTAATTATTAAGATACGGAAATGATGAGATGTGTCTCCATGTTTCTATTAACTCTTCTGCTCACTATTCAGGTCATTCCGGGTAAGTGAGTTATGACTATAATAATTGTCAACAAATAAATTTGTTGTCGATCCATTAAATCGAATGAATTCCCTGTATAATTTAGTTTGTTGGACCGTTTATCATACACATGTTAGTATCACTACCGACATTTAATCTGGTTCATAACTGTCCGTATCTGCTTTCTGTTTGTGTAGAATTGACTAGTATGATTTATTTACATTATTTGAAGTTTTATTTTCTATACAGAAACAGAGCATTTACTATGTGATCGTCAGTGTCACAATTCTGTTAAATAGATTATACCAGGGTCATTAAGATTCGTGTACTTGAAATTGAAATGACTTGAAAATGCTGAATTGTGTTTACGTAGTTTGATTTGCTCAATAGATTGATCATTGCGTCATTGAACATTTTAAGAAGCGTCATAATTTTACTTTAATGTGTGCTTAACGCAATACTATCGTTTTCTGTGAAATTTTAACTTTGATTTCATTATATAACTCCACGTATTACATATTTCTAAAATCGATTCCAAGCTATTTCTATTTTGTAAATCTGGTTGTCTAATTATAAGATTATTTACGTATGTCGTCAGTTCCTCCATAGTGGTCTTTAGTATACTTTGTATTTCTAAGGAACCAGTTTAGATATTTTTAGTGAATAGTAGATGTCCTTATTCTGTAACTTTGTAAGTTGGCAGTCATTTATGTTTTATATCATTCATCTTCATCATCATCGAAAGTATGCTGTTAAGAAATTTTAATTTGCATTCAACAAATCATATTTTAAACACCACAACAGTATCACATCATTGTATTGTTTTAATAAAAAAAGAAACAGTTATTCATAGCTTTCATAATAAATATTCGCATTTAATTTTGAACAGTTATTTTCACATCTTTAGTTACGAAATGACCTAAATATTGATTGTTCCCAAGTAGGACGAAACTCTCGTCCTGGATTCCACTGCTGGCAACCATCCATCTTTGTTTATAATTTAAAGTTAACGTTTATGCATAAGAATTGTTTATCTGGTATTTGTTTCTCTGACCTTTATTTATTTATTATTGTGTAACGGAAACAATAATACGATTATTTTATCAACAGTTTATTTTTCTGTTGGATAACAAGCTGTATAATGTCATATAATGGTATATAATTTCCAATAGATTCGAGAAATTCTCCGTTGATAACAATTTATAAATTAATCCTAATTTTCACATTGAAGTCAAATGTGTAGTTTATAATTAAGATCATGAACCGATTGATGTTAGACCACCACAATTGAAAACCTGGAAGCACTGGACGGCCGTTTCGTCCTATTGTGGGACTTCTCAGCAGTGCGCATCCACGAGTCCCACAATAGGACGAAACGGCTGTCCAGTGCTTCCAGGTATTTAATTGTGGTGGTCTAACATCAATCGGTTCATGATCTCAATCAAAAACCTTATAATTTCCACAACCCCTATGCTAGTGAAGTTTATAATTATATCTACACATACTATTTTGATTTCACTTTATTGATAGACTATGTGCATACTTAATTATCAATTAATATAACAACCTTATGTATATAGATATACGGAAATCAGTTTTTTAGCTAGCTTATTTTTCATTTCTTTCAGTGAAAAATTTATTTGAAGACTTGAAAATTCAAATAAACAGATTTGGTCGGACAATATATATTTCAAGTGAAAAGTCTGGTGAAATGATGCCTGGAATCATAGTGAATACTTCATTAGGTCATGTAATAAACTGGAATGTTTCGGATAATATAATACCTCTTCATGCGATATATTGTAAACCTTTCATTGTTCGAATCAGTTTTAATGGAACAATATTAAGTACAAGTATTTTTAACATTACACCAGAAGGTCAGTCAGAATGTTTAATGTATAAATATTATGTGACAAAATTTGTTTCTGTACATATTAGGATTCGTATTAGGAGCACAAATATCATTCCCAGTTAAAATTTATCACAAAAACAGTTCTATGAAGCAATAAATCAATGATTTGATTCGTCATAAAAATGTGATAAAATTGAAATAATCCTTATTTTATGTTAGTCTTGATGCCGAAAAACAGGTATGGCTGAAACACTTCGAACCGATTCCTAATACATAACAGTGATCTCCACAAATTCTTCTGTTACTTAACTTTTATTCATATAATTGTTGTTATTATGGGACCGGTGTAGATACAAGAGAATCGAATCAAATGAATAACTTTTGACCAGCCATCACAAAATGATTTAATGAATGTTTTAATCAGTCGTCGAATTGAAAATAAATCACACATTTAACACCAACTACGCTGTACATAAACTGGTAAACATAGAAGATCTGAAAATAAAACTATCTTCATTTAGGCATTTTTTTCTTACTGAGTGCTTGTAATTATTTCAGCAGCTGATCCTTTCTTCAAGCATTTTATATTCTAATTTTTCAATAATTACTATGCTCTGTTGATTGAAGTTTTATTTTTTTTATCCTAATGGGTATATATATTTAATTAGATGGGAAACTAGAGGGTAGTTGGAAACAATATGCACTGACCGACAACAAAACTGGAACAGTAACTCACTACTGCAGTTTTGAAACTTTAACTGGAAGTGATTGTAAACTTTCTGTTGTTGGCAGTTATCAAAACACTGCTGGACGATGCACATACAAGAGAGGGAGTGGGGATTCATCATTGAATTTTTTGAAATCAAATACATCTTATACTCTTCAATGCTTAGATCAGTCCGGTTACACCGAAGTCAGCTCTATACGACATAACATTGGTAAGTATTAACTAAAATATGGTGAATGACATTTAAATGCATAATCTCTATAATTCTATGTAGTAATATTCGTTTTAAACCAGTTTGCAATTGAAGCTGAATACGCACCCAACATAAGTGCATATTGTGTTTAACAGCTTCAAGCACTGTAGATTTGTAAAGATATTGAAAAATTAACCAAGCTATAATATTTGTCAATCTTGCATGTCAAATGAAAGTGTTTTATTGTGAACACTGCGGTAGATAATGGGGCACTACGCTAAATCTGGTCAATATGAAAACGGTTAGATCGTTGCACTCAGTCTACAGCTTTAACTTATATATTGTTAAATATTATTGTTTTATGTTCATCATCCTACAAACATAAAACACCTCACAGAAGTGTTCAATAAGCGTATTTTGCTTTATAAAATTTGATAAGTGGAAGTAAAACCTACAAGAGGTATGAAAAGAAGATTCTGGAATAAACATTAATCTTGTATTCCTATATCGATGTTGTTTAAAGTTTTATGTTTTATATGATCAAATGGATTGATTGCCGAGCAATTTCACAGCATACAGAAACAAAGTAATAAGCCTTTAGAATTTGAGTGTGTTTCCTCCATTAGTTTGTTAGCAGATTGGTGTCTGCAATATCGTTGTATTTAAATTTTGAATTCGTATGAGAGTGGTATGTTGCTGAACAAAATATGTTTGGAAATGTAGTAGTCAGTTAAAATTTCACTTTTAATTAAATATGTTGTCTAGACGATATTTAGTTTAGCAATAAGCCAATTAATCATCATGTACACGATTAATTTGTATCCTGTTAATCTCAGTTTACTACAATGCTCAATGTTAAACACCTTTTATAATTAAGACATTGAAGAGAGCGCTGTTAAGTACAGTATCTTTTGTAATAGAATATATATATTCAGGTTGTTACTCTTTATAACAGTAGATCAAAAAGTGGAGTCAATGTAGACAACGATACAACAGTGAGAAGGAAAATGAGAGTAGCAAACTGTGTGCTTACAACCACAAACATAGTTTTACCTATCCCTTAAGTTTCTCACGAATAAAGTGATGACTTCATGAGGCATGGATTGATTACAGTAGGTTTTACATTTAAAACATCGATGATGATCCAAGTTAACAGGTAGATATTTAAATCAAACAGACAGCTAAACAGCATTCATTTGCTGTGCAAGATTTCGATAATCGTATAAACAAGAAACGACCATTTGATTACAATACAAGCATTTTCAATGGACTATTAATTTTAAATTGTTCGACAAAGTGATATTGAAATACTTATTATTTTTATTCGATTATCCAGGCAATGATCAAAGGAATATTTTCCTTGAAAATCTTCATAACTCTCAACTCCCAGATCCCGATGAAGAAGACAGGTGTCCAACTGAGCAAGGTAATTCCGTATTTTTATACTTAAATAACAAAGTTATCTGACATATTGAAAGGCTGTCATGTAAACAGACAATATACAGGTCGTTTTCCTTTCCACAGATGACAGATTAGTCATTTTACTCGCAGTATTTTGAGGCCAATGCAATACAGCTTATCAATAAAATTTCACTGTAGATGGGATTGAACAGTGATATTTATAGTAGTATATGAGGTTGGGATAGTTAAACTACATCTCTGTTTTGCACGCTTTGATGTTGCATTAATCAGACTGTCCTCTTCAAATACACTATTTCGAAGATCTTCTTATTCAACATATGGTTTGACAATGACAGACAAACAGTTGATTAGCAGTGTCTAGATCGATGTGTTTGTGAAGACATTTAAGACAAACGCGTATTTGGGATTGGTTCTCATTAATACAAGCGCGAGCAAACATTTATGTCACCCCTTCACAGCACTGTTCGTTTTTTCGTAAGACAGTTTAGCGTATTTAGATTTGGATATTCGAATTATGTGCTATTCCACATAGATAGTCCATTATCGACCATCTACTGCAAGTTCGGTACGTATTGCTACCTTCTTATGCTTCTTTTTATGTACCGTTGTTGTCCGTCTTGTGGCCTTCTACAGCAGAATCCTAGGAGTTTCACAGTGCGATTTGGAAAATCGATTCGATGAGTCCTCCATGTCCTTCCGGTCTCACGATCAAGATTTCTTTAAAATAGTTTGCTAACTCTTTGATTTCCTCGTCATTCCCTATGCAGAACGGTAACTATTCGACTATCAAATACAACTATGATATCTACGAACGGTACGAATGCTAACGCTGTCAAATGATGAATCTGCAAATCAAAATTTTTGTCTGTCATGTAACGTCGCTAAAGGTTACCTGATTGTTGAAGACTCCATCATATACACTGGCTCTGATGAAATAGGTAACCTCGTTGTATTACGCATGTATAAGATATTGTAGAAGTGTATTTGGATGCATAATTTAAGCTAATTAATGTTAAGAAGCTGTTTAAACGTTTCTATCTGCCAAACGTAAATCTAAGTACGGTTTCAACCGAAACAAATGATTATGTAAATTATATACTTACTTAATAACCCTACATTAATAATATTATTAATAATTCCATGAGGTCCACCTTATATCTTCCACCTGTTCACCTCATTATTTCTCAATAAAACCTAGTCATTTGATCCTTGTTGCCAAACACGCCAACATTTAATGAATGACTCTGAGTATGAATTTTTGATTATAAAATTTAGGCATGTTTTCGCTTTTATTGCTCTACATATATTGCAAATCCATTTCGGTAAGGAGTAAAAACTATCATTTAGAATGCAATTAGCTGATTTCGTACATAGTTGTTTCAGTTTTAACTCCAATCAAATATTTTATTCCCCTCCTCCCCCCGAAAAAAACATAGTTACGAATTCATTTTATATATTATTGCATTTTTATTGCAAATACTTAATCGTAATCAAGCTTATGACCTTCGCATTTTCGGCCACCTGAAATTGTCTGACATGCTCTTGATCTGGTGGGAATCCAATCCATAAACATCCCTTTCAATAGATTATATCCCAACTCTTCTAAATAGATGTACGAGATAATAGAACTAGGTTATTAACTGTAACAGTTTGTGGCCGAATTTGGAAAATTACATTATTTATTAAAAGTAGACTTCTCATCACACGTTTAGATAAATACATTTTCGACTAGTCGTAAGGCAAAGGGATAGAGGATAAATTGAACATGTTTCAGACCATTAAAACTGTTATTCTCCTTGACAATGAGCTCCTTTAACAAAGTGCACCCTCTGAAGCTCATTCTTACCGGCGTGCGCCTTTTTCCACTCGTATTTTAGCCCGCTCACTTTTAAATAGATACCTTCCGAATCTAATCGATCCGAAATATGTTCTCAAGAACTAACATCACCAAGTTTCTGATTTGTTTCGACAGAATACATTGATTATTTAGATATGAAGTGCATTTTTAGACCATTCTTCAAAATAACATCTTTTAAACATGTTATTGTTTGTGTTATATTTGTTATCTTTATAATTGAAGGCTGAGGATAAATGAATTTAATAAGACCTAGAATACAAATGTTTTTAAGTAAATATTTCAATAATTGAATTCACTAGCATATGCACTAGTAATGAACGAATGGGATTGAATGAATACAACTAGACATGTTTAATAGTAGTATTGGATTAACGCCAAATGTAGATCACTTTGCAAGTGCATTAGATTTATATTGACACTGGCAATTAGTATCACCAGGAGTTGTATTTTAGTGACGAATCTAGGACTTCATTAGACTGGTCTAAACCTCATTGTGTTGAAATGAATACAAACCGTCCAAAGTGTCAATAAGTCAACGTGTCTCAAATATTTATAGATCAATATAATAATAGAATACGATTAATAGGAATAATGTTTAAGGGTATGAAACTTATTTTAGAAGCCCTACCATTTTCCAACTAGTCAAAAGCGTCATTTTAGCCGACCAATGAAATTTCTATAATCGGACTCATAAAATTAGTGAATTCGTTTTAGAAATATCATTTATAGTCAGCGCTGTTGTCAGCTAAGTCTGTTTCAATTAGTGAAGCTGAGTTGATTTTAAGAGAGATGATCGTTTGCGTAGGATTTTCGAAGGAAGCGGAACACTTGAAACGATTGCGAGCTTATGAAAATGTAACTTCCATAATAGGGGACAGTCGACGAAATGCAGATGATTTTTTTATAAAATATGTATTTCAAAGGAAGGATCACCCTCAGTGATGAACAACTCAAGCTACACGATCTCCGCCTGACACGGAGTATTGTGCATTAAATTTGTGATAAAATGAATAACAGCTTAGTGGTGAACATTATATCTCATTATAGAGCACATATTGTAAAATTAAGTGTAATTACGACTGTACAGTTTAAGAAAATATCATTATCCAAAAGAACACTTTCTTCACTGAAAGGTCGACATTCTTTTTATTGTTTCATTGTTTCCATGCTTGAATTCTGTACGTAAAGGACAGGTCATGTATAATTCGTTTTAAAAGGTGGTGACTTTCACTTATTGTTGATTAAGTTTGTTTTCAGGCCAACTAGCAACTATAAATTTGTGTTTAGTAAGAGTGAACTTTCCAATTTCGTCCGATTCGTCCTCATGTACAGCGTATCCACCACTGAGATTCTTTACTACACCATTTTGGCATAATGCGTAATTCATCTGTGCAGCAATTGACAACTGAGCAGTTTTAAATGTCTTCTGCTTTTATCCCGTTTATACGTATAACGACTCAGTTGACTTTTAAATCATATTCGAATTTATTCCTAGCGGGATAATTTAAAAATGACTACACATGACTGAAAAACCTTAGTCCCGTGTCTGTATGATTTATGTTAATAAAAATCACTATTCTTTTAATTTCAGTATTTATTTCCTAGTATCATGTCTTCCATTCTTCTTTATTTAAGTCTAGTAATGATTATCAATATTTTATTCAGAGTTTAACAATACTGATTAGTAGGTAAGACATTCGAATTAATCCCACAACTGAGCAAAAATTAACCAACAGAGTCGAATAAATGCAGCTGACAGTCACATGGTCACTTAAATATCCTATCCCAAAATGAGTAAACAGATATGTTTGTATAAAATAACATTGTTTATTGTTTATACGTATCTACGGTATCTAAATATGTATATTTGTTGACAACTCTCTTTTCCCTTCTTCATATCTTCAAAACTCACGTCATGTTTTGAAAAATATAATCATACTTTAATGTATTTTTAGATTTTCCCAAAGTGGAAGGCTTGACAGTCACTGCCATTGCAGAAGGTTCAATTCATTTACTCAGTTGGAATAAGATAAGTGAGAAATTCAGCGAGTGTCTATCACACTATTTATTGGTTCGCGTTCATCGACGTCTAAAACCGAAGTTAATTATACTCTCAGTTATGAAATATCGGGTTGATGGACATTTGAATAATATAATTATGGACATATCAGAAGACCAAAATTACATTTACAAAGTTAAGGCACTTTTCAAAAACTCCATTAAAACCCAATTTTCCGAGCGTGTTGAGATCCAGACGCCAAATGCAGTGAATCATAGTAGGTTCTTCAAATTCGTTGTTTGAAATATAACTTCTCAAATAGATTTTCTAAGTTTTTCATAAAGCTTTATGTGATGAGTTTAAATGATTTTCAGTTTTAAATGGTCGGAATGATTAACATGCAAAGATGATGGAACTTATAATGAAAATTAAATTTGTTTCCACGAAATCACCACCCATCTTTAGTATGTTAAACAAGTCATTCCATCAGGAGATAACGAATAACGCCTTTAAGCTCACCGTTTGTTTAATTAGTACATTTAGTATCCCTTGTTGACAGAGGTGCTACTTGTATTACGGTTTGTGGTATCTGGTTAATATCTACTTCCAGAGATACAGTGGTAATGACAAAATCTTCGTTTTCGAACTCCTGCCTTGCAATGAATCTAGAAAGCATCGGTTTGACTGAAATTTGTTGTAGATTTATATCATGGGCAAACGTTGCAAGCGATTAGCAATAAACACTAGGACGCCGAACTTGGACCTGAAAATCGAAAGAATGTGTTTGAGGCCCATAAACTATGTAAGTAGACACTCATAAGTCATTTTATGAAACTTCTTGATAGCGAAAATCAAAGTCAACCCTACATTTTCTATTTGACTATACTTTCGTTGTCGCATTTAGAGATCTCGATGGATGAGCTAGAGGTTTTCCCTCACCTTTTGGAAAATGGTGGCTGATAACAGATCCAATACCATAATCAAGTGTCAGCGGAAACAACTATCGCCTATTTCGGGTGGTAATGAGTCAGTAATAAATGAGAGTATGAGATTTTCTTGATATTACCTAAGGAATTTTAACACTCATCTGACCATTTCAATGTTGTATTAGCTGTTAAGAGCTGATTTAACAGACGGTGTAGTGTCTGCATAGCCAGAATAAATACGCTATAATATTTATTCATGCCCGACAATGATTGCAATGTCATTATATTAGTCAGCGGAAGCCTTTGTTTAGTGGTATATATATTATCCGGATCCGGTCGACGACCGTGTTTATCAAATCCAAATCCAAGATACTTAGAAGATCCAAGAAATAGTGCACAATTACTTTTTGCAGTTGAAAACCAGACTCTGATATTTTTGCAAGCAATTTATTCAAACGAGACAATAATCCATAACAATATCATCCAAGTAGGCGCCAGCAGTATCAAGATTCGATATCACAATAACTATTAACTGTTGAAAAATTTCGGGAGATGGTTTTATACCGAATAGCAATCTTTTGTTTTGGTAAAGTTCAAGATGAGTATTTATGGTCAGAAAACACTTAGAATCAGTATCAACTTTCACCTGAAAACAGACATCAGATAAATCGAGTTTTGCAAAATAACGTCCATCATTAAGTTTTATGAATAAATCTTCAGGTCAAGGTAGTGGATATGAATGATTTTGCAAAGCATTATTTAGTCCAGTAGAGTAATCACCACATAGACGAATAGTTCAGTTGGCTTTTTGAACTATAACCATAGGAGCTGACCATAATGAGAAAGTAACTGGTTGTATAACTCCAAGTTTTTTTTAACCGCTCGAGTTCTTTATCAAACTTATTCATGGAGGCATAAGGTACTTGTCGTTTCGGGCGGAAAACTGGTTACACTCCATGTTGTAAATACAGTATAGCTTTCCAAATAGTACAACATTCCAATGTGTTCTGGAGCAAATTTGAATGTTTTTCAAAAGGATCTGACTCTGTCAACGTTTTAGCGTTGGATGTTACATATAGAGCATGTTAGTTACTTTGAATCCAAGAGCCATTTAATATAAATACTGTTGTGACTTTTAAGCCCGGCTAATTATCACGTGACTTATTCCCCAATCAGAATACGACTTATACAATCTTATCACTGTGCCATACCAATGACGCATCGATCGGCATGAACAGCCTAGCACCCTTATTGGCCCTTTTTCCTCCTAGCCCTGGTAGTTAAGTCCAGAACACCAAAACCAGCTTCCATTATACGAACATTCATTTCAAACATACTTGGTTTATATACAAGCCAAACAGACCACATCACGCCATAAAATAGGAAATAATAGTTGTACATGATCAAGCCAAAAAGTGGCTGTGACTGTTGGAGACGGTAATCAATAAACAGTTATACAATTAGAGTATATATGTATCAATCCAATTAGTGCCAACAGGATCCAATTCATGTCTACTCGTTGAATAACATGTCCTATCAAAAGAATAATCTCTAAATTGAACAATCCACTCGATCATTCCGACGAGTTTTAGAATATCCACACATGCGTAACGAGATGTATGTTCTGTAAGTAATGTTGGATGACTCACCAATAATTTCCATGTCTTTCTGGAAGCGATTATAATAATGGATGCTGTTTGTAATTATGTTAATAGAACCACGTATCTTCTTTTGTCAGCATGGAATTGTTGAAAATATACCATGATTATACTTAATGTGACTCTGGAAAAACGTTATAACATATATTACATTGGTGACTTTGATAAGGACAAGTCTGGGCCAAAACACAATTTTATAGCATTCTTTATTTGAGCTTAGGGTAACTGCCAACATTAACGTTACTTTTCGTGCTTGATTTTACGGAATGAACATGATAATTCGCCAAAGTTTCTTCTCTAGTTTCCACAATTGCTGTGTCATATTTTAGATTAAGCAGGCGTTGACACTATACAGTGGTCGTTTATAATTTCATTTCATCATCTTGTTCAATATGGGCTAATAATCGTGTTCGTATATTGACATTTGTGGAAGTTTATAATCCAGAAACAAATAATAAACATTTAAGTTGGTCATTTGAAAATACATTTATTTCGAAACTCAGCTTGTAGATTAATCCTGCTTACGTACATCAAATAATCTTCATCAGCATCCTTTTTAACTGGAGGTATTTGTAACGAATATGAAGTAATGATGTTTGTTCATAAAATATCACGTTCAAAATACTAGTGATTTGACCAAAAATCAACTTCCTTGGGTGTTTTGGCAAGATAAAATTTTTGTATTTGGAGTATACCGGTAAATAAATCCCAATAATAAATAGTTCTGTAAGTCTTTGAAATTGATGCTGACCACATTAGTTTTACTAGAAACACCCTAGCTGAAGGCGCTCAGTCACGCATCAACACCAGATCACAAGTGGGTACACCGTGCCAAGCATCCCTCACAACTACTAGTCAACTTAAACCAAGCACTTCTCAACATATCGACAGCTTTCCAAATTTATCTTCAAACCCCTTCATTTCTAACCTCTAATTTGAGTGGGTTGGTATACTTTGATTATAAAGGTGTTACGTGTAAACGAACTGTCAAGCTTCGAATACCCGTGACATCTTTAGAATATTCTTATGGACTTTTTCGGTGTCAGCCATCGTATCTTCTTTGCTTCCTCTTTATCTTGATGGTCTATTTGAAAAAGATCTTTCAATCTAGCAAACCATGATTCAAATGCATGACCATTTTCTGTATCAAAAATAAATTCTGGGACTAAATTAAATGTCCTGGTGCTTATCAGGACTAGATTGAACATTTTGGCATAAGTGGTTCAGGCACCTGTTCTTGAGGATCTAAAAAATTGACTCTGCTGCTCCTGAAGGAATAATTGCATGTGCTCGGAAATAGTGGACATATTGATTTTCTCCTTCTGCATGATTCCGGTCACTAATTAAAAACTGAATGGCTGATGGTCTTGACAATACAGTTCTACTGTATGGGGCGGAAACTTGGAGAACTACGAAAGCCATCATCCAGAAGATACAAGTGTTTATTAACAGCTGTCTACTCAAAATACTTCGGATCCGTTGACCAGACACTATCAGTAATAACCGACTGTGGGAGAGGACAAACAAGATTCCAGTGGAGGAAGAAATCAGGAAGAAGCGTTGGAAGTAGATAGAACACACATTGAGGAAAGCACCCAACTGCGTCACACGGTAAGCCCTTACTTGGAATCCTCAAGGCCAAATCGGAAGAGGAAGATCAAAGAACACATCACGCCGAGAAATAGATACAGAAATTGGAAGAACGAACAACAATCGGATAGAAGTAGAAAGGAAGACCCAGAACAGAATGGGTTGGAGAATGCTGATCGGTGGCCTATGTTCCATTGGGGGTAACAGGCGTAAGTAAGTAAGTAACTGTTATATCCGAATGAAGAATAAAGGAAAGGAATAGTAAACGCTAGGAATTATTTATAGAATATTATTACATATATTCTTATTGGCTAACTATTAAGTAACTAGATTATTTATATATCCCTTTTATCATAAACTTTCATATGACCTATTGGCTACAGCAATTCGATCTACCGTTCTTAACTTATTCACAAGTCATTAGCTACACTATCCCACATTCGCAGCCATTTTTGACTTAATCTTGTATAATTATTATTTTTCATTTTATGGTATCATGCGGTCTGTTCTGCTTGTATATAAACCACATAGATCTGAAATAAACAGAGGAGGTCGAGATTTGTGTTCTGGACTGAACGGGCTGTAGCAGACGTTAAGTTACCTTACTGAGGACTAACAAGGACCCAGAGTTTACTCAAGGCTGCTAGTGCTGGTAAACACATCATTGGTCAAGCATAGAAGTAGGTATTCTGATTGGCGATTTTGTCAAATGATATTTTAACGGGCTATGTGACATAAAATAAACTAATAATCAATGACATCCAATGACGCTGACGACAAATTTGTACGTTGGTGGGTCAAATAAGTACAGTGAATTCTCACTCTATTACTGGATGACCCTGACTTTTTTACGTGAAGGTTGAATTCGTTAATTTCTAACTCCGTTACCAATTTGCTGTGTCCTATAACCAACCACTACTCGTAGATTACCTCAAGCAATCAATTACATAAATGAATAATTGGCTATTCTGAAAAAATATCTCTTTAAAAATGGATAACCGAAGAAATTTATTATGAAATATGGAAAAGAATATCCCATAGATGGTAAATAATCAACTGTTGGAACGAAACTTGTCCTCATTCGCCTTCCGTTCGAGGGAGATGAGATTTCAAGATTCTATGGGAGAGAAGAAGCTTTCGTGCTGCTCAGTCAGTTTCACTACACAGAGCATATTCTTCATTATACCATTCAAAGGTAGATCATTACCCTTCTGACGTCACCTCCAATTGCATTTATGAATTTATATGTCCCTAAGATAGCACGTACATAGGAAGGAAAGAGAGAATGGTCTCTACAAATGTCCTGAACACCTTCCTAGGAACCCATAGCTGAAACGGTGTAAAGTCTTTACAAATGCAATTGCCAGACACGTTTTGTATAGTTGACATGAGGTAAATATAAGTAATGCATTTAAAATTAATAATAATAATTGATAAAAACATCAGCGTTACTCCGTTTAACAGAAAGTGGGAATGGCCTTTCTCTGCCCTGGTGATCGGGGGGTTATCTAATAACCTTTATTAGTATTAACGTTTAATCTCTTTTTCAACCCTGTACTCAACCTTTTATCTTTGTTTTTATTTCGTCTTTTGATATTCAGCTTCTACTTAATCATGTTGATGTTCGCATGTTTGTTTATTTTGTCATGTTGAACGACTACCTGATCATTTATTAATCACATTACCTTTAAATAACCTCTGAATTATTACATTCCACCACATAAACACCTATAGATCTTAACTAAGTTTATTCATACACTTTGTATCCCTATTCTTCTTGTTATTACAATTTTGGTTACGTTTCGAACTAAAGTATGCTGAACATTTGCTAATAATTATATCAATAATTGTAATTTTAGGTCGTATGCAGCAGATGAGAAATTGTGAAATATAGTAAATGCATTTTATTTTGCAAACCTTGTTATTCTTTTTTTGTCTAAATTTTGTTGTATGAAATCAGTTTTGGTATGTGAATGCATTGTTACATGACATTTTAGCAGAAGGTTATTTGATGAGTAGTTGGTGTATACTACGCAATTTATGTTGTATTTCATTAGGCATGAAAATTTTCTTACCGTTTTATCCATTTAGTATTATATTTCATTATCTAGTTATAAAGATATCTTCAAATCCACAATTGGTACTTCTTTGCAAACTGTTTGTTTTATAGACTGTAGCTGCCTCCCAAGTGGTGTTCATACAAACAAGACTGGTATCAAAGTACCAGGTGAGTCACACTGAATTTTTATTCATTTACTAACTGCATTCATTGAACAAAAAATTAACTCATCTTTGTATCGTTAGTTATTCTTAGTTTTGAGATGAATAGTGTTACGTATTTATTATCTGAAGATCATAAATACAGGGGGCTGTTTGTTCATTCATTTCGTGTTATTCTAGGTGTGTACATAAAACATTTAAATGCCCACCAGGGAATGTGTGTTTAGCTACTTGATGTAATAGTAGTAAAAGCTTGATTCGGAATGCTTCCACCTTAAAAGATAGATAATTTGAACCAACTGAGATCAGTATAGCTCAACGGTAAATTCTCTGATGGACAACGAGTGAAGCAGTTTTGAGTCCCACGAGGAACATCATCTCCAACAAGATTTCAGATGCCAATTAAAACTTAACTTGACTAATACATGTCGATCGATACACACAATTAGATAACATGGTATTGGCTGCTGCCCTATGGCTGATAAGCGTATCTGCGTGTACTCTTATGAAAGGATAAACATATGACATGTTTGCTTTAGAATAATGAAAACCACACGAATTACATGCTGATGTTTTTAAAAAATCTTTTTTCAGCTCTTGTAATAGACAGAAGAGCCCAAATTTCATGAGAAAACGACGAATTTTCAGAAAGAAACATTTTTTTTCCATCAGCTGAAATAAAAATGGATTGATTTTTCTAATTTTCAAGTTAACGTTTCTTATATTAAGTCTCACTATTTATTTCATTTTTCTGTTGATTAAAATTCAATCACATTACGTTGTATTTTTTATTTTTATTGTATTGAAAAGTCACTAGGGAGCTAGGTATATGTAACTTCTAGCTTTATTACTCTGGTATTTGTCGACGACTCTAAGTAATACACGGAGAACTGTTGAATATCTCATTATTTACTACTTAACTTGCAAACGTATTCATAACTATTGGGTCAAAGACTGATCTGGAAAGTCAGTAGTTTTATAGAACTAGAATATAACTCCTTTTGAGATAGTTATAGATGTATTTCGTAAAAGTTGAGGTTTCTAAATGGACTCATCATAATAGTTGTTGTGGATTGATATGTTGTTTCAGTAACACCAATTACATTCATTAAAAAACAGTTGGACGGGTTTCAAGCAAAATAATAATTATAACTAGTTGAATAGGTTAGTTAATTTGTTGGCAAGGATTCTATTTTAGAATGATTTTATTTGGAGCCACTCGAGAAGAATGTTGTAAATAATGACTATTCAAACTGAATCAAGGTTTTAATTATAAATTGTTCAAACTCTTACCGACTACTGAAATCATACAACAGGACGATTAATTACTCAGAATGCAAATTTTTATTAATAGTAATTGCAGGGTTCAATCGCTTGTAAACGATAATAATCACTCAACAGACACGGTTGAATAACAAAATCTGAAATGAACAGTGTTAGTACTTTTAGTAGAATAACAAACTTAAAACGACATCGAGTACATTTCAGCCAATTCTCAGTCAACCAGAAAACGGTTTTGATATATATAGTTTGCTAAAAAAAGATAATAACATTGCAAAATACAAAAGGGAATTTCACATAATCACTTAATTTATAAAAGTCTTCTGCAGATCACTCTTCTAGTAGATTGAAAAATGATGACATAAAACTCCTCCAAATGGATACAGATTATCTGTCTCTTCGAACCTTAGTAGGGACCCAAGATTCCATATATTGTTCTTGGTTCGGGATAAGGGTTTGAGATTTTTATCATGAACTAACATAAGCTATGTTGTGAAATTGTTCTACAACCAACTGGATAGGTAAATTTCACGCCGAATATAACACACAATATGATATTACTTTTGAGAAGTGTTTGGCTGACTACCAGCTATTTCAACCTTAAATGAGTAGTGTGTCACAAAGATCAGACTTCTTGTGCTTTCATGGTACAGTAAAGATGAACTGGGAGTTTTCATATGGATCGAAGGCGTGACTGGGATACGAGAGAACATTCAGCATTTCATTCTAGCTAGCATCAATAAGAAGTGATATCTATTATCCTAACGCATTTGAGACCCCGTATTATGAAGAAGATTGTGGTAACTGATCGATTCCATAATAAAAATCGACAAATATAGTGTGGTGAATAACCAGTACACTTAGTGTCGAGTTAAATATTCCATGTTGTGTTTAAAACTATAATAATAAAGATACAATGCAATCTCACACAACGTACCTCGAATTTGAGTTCTTGATTGTATGTTGTTAAAGTACTAGACTTGTTGGGACTGATTGCATCTCACGATAGCATTTTAGATTCACATCTGGCATCGCAATCCGAATGGATTCAACTAAAATGGTGAATTTAGCTGTCAACGCGTCACCCAAGAAGTGGAAGATTATTTAAGGTGTTTCGATGCTTGATGTTTGTCACATAACTTCGAGGAAGATAATAATTCAGCTCGTTACTGGTAAAGAAAACTTCACATGTAGCTATTCTAGGGTTACCATCTGTCCCAAGCTCGGCTAAAGGAAGAGGGTTGGGCATTGGATCAGCATCCGCATCCAATCGAAAACAATCTACATTAAAAACAATCCTCAGAATAAACAATTTAAACCATTTTAGCTCCGTCCTGAGAGTTGAAGGAACTTAATTCAGGAGAACTATAACGACCCACAGTGAAAGTCGATATTCTTCGGAGGTCCCAAGCCCACACAAAGAAGGAGGGGTGGGAATGGGGTCGGCAACTCCATTCAGTAGAAAACAGTCTTGCTTAAAAATCACTAACCAGAATAAAAAATTTGAACCATTCAAACTCTTCCCTCCGAGTTCAAGGAGGAATTATAACGCTTCATGATGGAAGCCGAGATTGTTCGGAAGTCACGAGGCTGATGCCCCGTCTAACAACCAGAGCAACAATTAATATTGGTACATAGAACGTCCGGACGATGTGATAGATTGGGAGGATTAAATAAATAGCGACGTAAATGACATGATACAACCTGGTGGTGCTCGGAATACGTGAAGCATATTGGACCAAACCTGGATAGAAAGGGTTAGACCCTGCCGTCCTCTGATTATGAAGAGAGAAATCCGTCCCACAGACGAGGAGTTGTAATAGTGCTCCACAAAGAAGCACGTAATGCACTTATAGGATGGGAATCTCATGGATCCAGAACAATCAAAGCATCATTTAAAACAAAGAAGGAGGGAATCACAATGAATGTTATGCACTCACTATTGATAGCGATGGAGACAGGGAAGACCAGCTATACTAGAGGCTGTAGTCGGTCACAGAGAAAAGCTCCGGAAAGCACCTGACTACCCTGATGATAGATCTGTAGCGTGGCGTCGAGTCGCGTTTGTCTATGATCACCACTACAGGAAAACTATGTGCCAGTTAACCGATAAAATCTCCCGTAAGCCAAATATCAGAAGGCAGTTGGTGGCTGCAGTCAAGATTCATTTGCTGGAGATCTCGTGGTATCGAAAGAATACCGAGATCGTGCCAGGTTACAAGTGTGGTTACTGAGCGTAACCGAGTTCGTGCAAGGTCACAACCGAAGGAAGGAAGAATGTATGTCTCTAGTACAGTCAAACAAACAAGCACAGTAAAACAATCACTGGTACAATTGGTTATAATAATAATTGTTTCCATTAAACCAATCGTATTCTCTTGATAAAAGTAGGTCACTACAGATCTAAACACCAAGATCGGTGTGGGGAACACCGGGTATGGAGATACCATGGGACGACATGGACTAGGAGAAAGGAACGAGAATTGCGAGAGATTTGCAAATCTACGTAAATCCAACAAATTGGTTGTAGGCGGCACAATATTTCCACACAAAAACATATACAAAGCCATATGGGTTTCGCCGAATCACATTACACAGAAACAGATCGACAATATTTGCAACAATAAAAAGCTCACAAAGGAATTGGAAAATATGAGAACCAGGAGAGAAGCTGACATAGCACCAGATCACCACCTAGTTGTGGCGAAGATGAAACTAAAGCTAAATAAGCAATGAACAACAAGAGGAACAGCATCGCAAAGGTTCAATACAATCTTCACATGAGATTCTAGACACCCTAGGCATTAAGGTTTTACGACATACAGTCCACCATTAAGCCAATTTTCCAATATCCATTGTTCCATTCTTAGTCAAATCATAATATAGTACGAACACCAATCTTGTTTACAACTTCCTAATTTTCAAAGGTTCTCCAGTTGACATCACTCTAGAATAAAAAAATCTTCAACTGAAGACGATCTAGAACTTGAGTTTTTCTTGGTTTACACGCTCAAAATTACATTCCTCAACCCTTTGCTAGTTTCGTTTCTTGAGCTAAAACAATAAGTACTTCAAAATAAGATCATTCAGTCTAAAGAATTTTATGTCTACAAATGTATTCATCTTAGTTATAAATAATCGTAGTCATTTCAATGTCGATTAAAGTACAATTACCTATGGATATATGACTTCAAAGTTTTTACATATTACAACTGTCAACTTTTAAAAAGGGACAACAAAGTATTGTTGACTTAATAGTCAACACAATAAGATTGGTTGTAAATTAAGCAACCAGACTTATTTGTACTCTTTAATAAGACAGCTAATAGTGAAATTTAGGTTTGATAAAACATATCAGATCACGTAATAATAAACGTGATTTACTTAACATAACAGTTATTAATTAAAATGACTAATCATAAGATTTTGCAAAATATTTGTCCTAAAATATGACAAGATATTTTCGTTTCACTCTATACCATTGTTACCTTCGTCTAAATTTCATTTCTTTCATTATAGTGACCCATCAGTGTCCATATATTTTATGCCTCATCTCTTTATCTGACCTTAAAAAGCTATATTTAGGATCTTACTATTAACATAAATATTTTAATCACTTATGAATACCCCCAAATACAAAAATTCAGTTCATTTCCTCCTCATAGAAATTCTAATACACATAAATGAAATAAATTTTACATAAACTGAATAAAGAAATAACTCGTGTTTATTTGCCATGACTATGGATAAAGTAACACTGTGTGCCATAGATGTCAACATATCAAACAACAATGAATTTTAGCAATTTGTAGCAATTTCTCATTGTATATCAAATTTTATATTGAAATTCATTGTAACTATGACTGATAAGTGTTTTCTCAATGCTAATTTCATTGATTAAATACACAACGCACCATAATTCAATAAACAAGAAAATGTACGAATTCATGCTAACAACACTTATAATATGTGCAAAATCACCGTCTATTATATTCATGATTCGTTATTATAATTTATTTATTAAAAACACTTAGTTGGTAACAATTAAGTCAACATGATCTATTCGTCTGGTTTAATAATGTTCACATACGTTTAATTAGTATAAATTTCTTCACCAATGATTCCATAACAAAGAGAAGACCTCGAATTTCTACTTTGTGCGAGTTTATCTTCGCAACTATCCACTTTTTTAAAGTTTATTGACATCATAGCGAAGTGCTCAGGAAAGGATCATACCATCCTGATGGGAGACTTAAATACCAAAGTTGAAGTGCACAACACTGGATATGAAGATACCATAGGACGAAATCGACTAGGAGAAAGAAATGAGAATGGTGACAGATTTGAAAATCTATGTGCATTCAACAAATTAGTTACATACGACACAATATTTCCACACAGACGAATACACACAGTCACATGGATCTCGCCGGACCACACCACAGAGAACAGGATAGATCATATTTGAATCAGTAAGATGTTCACAAAGTAATTGG